TTGCAAATGAGTAAATAGTAGATCTACAAATACTGATTTTTTTCTTCCCTTTAACTCTACGGTGTCAGTTTGAAAGGTTTGAATGAGAGCTTTAAGCTCAACTAATGTAAACACCTTCTCAAATGTTTCTTTAATCCCATTATCATGAGCCCAAACCTTGAGTTGATCAAGTGCTAAACCAAGATCATCAGGTAGTATTCCTTTTTTGATCTTTATCTTTGATTCATTTTTTTTTTTCGTGATATTCTTCTGATCTACATTCATTGCCTTGACATTCTCTCGCAAGCTTGAAAAACCCTTTTCTGGAATATATTTCTTAAATCGTCACCAAGATCATTGTCTGCTTTGCATATAAGTCTTGATCAATCGTACCAATAAATAACTTTCGACCTCTTCTGACAAATGAATGTGATTACCCAAAAGCAATAGTTGGTTTTTGTACTTAGCATCATGTTAAAGCTTATATGCTGTTTGCAAAAGACATGATTCAAAGGTTGGTTATTTGTCAGATTGTTATTAATATACAGTATATCAGAATGTCTGATCCATACTTATTATATTTTTTGAATAGCTAAAGAATGAGTGATTCCAAATAATATATGAATTGGATGAAATTTGTTCCTGGGATAACTGTCGTCATTTTTGAACCAGTCTTATATATGTATTCCACATATTTGGTGCTAAGAATGTTTAGGCATGATCTTATCTTTGCAAAGTCTTTGTGTGCCATTGTTAGCAGATCACTTTTTATTAACTTGTAGATAGTCCATCCAATAATATATTGGAATTTTGATGCCTCAACTGGTTCCAAGTCAATGATTTTTTCAGATATGGTTCATGATTTTGTATCATCCAAAAGCTGATCATGATATTGCCTGTTTTGTACTTGCCTAAATGTAAATTTTATTGTTTTTTCTAGCAACATATAGGCTACCAATCATTGAACTTTCACATTGATATCATCTGGAGCTAACAATTGAAAATTACTGAACCAGTTGCTGGTACACTTATAATTATTTAATCGATTTTCCAAGTTTGTCAACCATGTTGTCAATCATTAGATACTTTTTTTTGTCGAAATAGAGTCTAATGCCATTTGATGGATAATTTTTGACCAAGTTATCAAAAGATCATCTACACCATGCAGATACAGTAAGTGTTCAATCAGCCATGCTCTTTCATGTTGTAAGTGGTTTATAGTTGCATTTTCTATTCTGATATTTTTATGATTTAAAGATGTTGATAGCTGTATTTGTTCCATTACCAAATTATCATCAAGAAGTTCTTGGAATATTTGGCAACTAAAGATAGAAAGTACTTCGATTTGAGTTTTATGACAACTAGATGTCTTCAGATTCTGCTTGTTAGCTATTTGGTAATCACTGTCAAAATTAATATTTAATAAAAATGTCTATTTATAAACCTATACAAACAAGATTTACCTTCGTTTCCAATCAGTAAGTGCACAACCTGTTCCATCAGCTGAACCATAATTCAAGCTTCATATTTCTGATGTCATTTGCATTGTGATCATTAATTTGTTCATTGCATATCCATAATATTGAATCGTTTGTGTGAAAGAATCATCACCCATTTTATTGATCGTTTCAAATAAACCTTTCAACATATCCTAAGAAATTCTTTTTGGTTGAATCATAGCACCTGGGCAATTGTTAAGTACGTATTCCACAATTTCAAGAAATCTATTAATTGATGAAACCAAATCAAATTGATACTGAGCCGAAATCCATTGACTTGAGTTTTTTTTTTGTGTATTACCTTGAATAAACCATTTTTTTATTTCCTTCAAAGTATTCAAGCATGGGTCTTCAAGAAAAGAGATACAAATCTGACTGTAGGTGATATCTCAATATATTCTTGTATAATGAATAAATAACTAATAAAATGAACATTATTAGACTTTGGATATTTTGTTATATAAATACAATCTTATGTTTACTTGAGTGCCTTGAGAGATATATTTTAATTTTGGAATGTTTTCCATTGCTTTCTTAACTTCAAGTGACAGTGTATATTCTGCAAGATCTACTCTCATCTTGCTCCAAGATGTAAGCCATATATGTCACTTTGTTAACTTGGTAGCCTTTGCTATCATGTATTTTTCTATGTGATCATATATTCCTCAAAAATGTTTCCAACTAATTTTCCAACTGTCAAACATTATCTCTCTTATATTTTTGCCTTCACCATTACTAGTGTGACTTTTGGAAACATTGTTTCTTAACTTCT